GAACTGTTATTATTGTGTGTGTGTGTGTGTGTGTGTGTGTGTGTGTGTGTGTGTGTGTGTGTGTGTGTGTGTGTGTGTGTGTGTGTGTGTTCTAGCTCGTGTGCGTTCGTGTGGCCTTGTGTGTACGTGTGTGAGCGTCCATGTTCCTTTATATGATCGTGGCCTTGTGTGTACGTGTGAGCGTCCGTGTCCTTATATACTCGTATGTTCGTGCCCTTGTGTGTGTGTGTATGACCGCCCGTGTTCCCATATATGTTCGTGGCCTTGTGTGTGCGAGCGTCCGTGTCCGTGAGGTTGGTAGCGATGTGGGTTTTATACTGTGGTATCGAGGCCAAGTAAGGCTGGGAGACTGTGGTCCGCGCGCTCGTAAACGGTGGGCGCGCCCCACGTAAGTCAGCCCCGACCACGCCCCCACACGCCCAACCCAGCCCACGCCCGCTACCGTCTTACTGGTGTGGCCGTCCTTCTGCCGTCGTCACCCCACGCCCTCCACCACTACTGGCAGGGCGTTCTTGGAAGATTCCTGTTTATAACGTTGGTGGTTGTGGTGGTAGTGGTGGTGGTGGAGTTGGTAAAAATAGTGGTAGTAGTTGTAGCAGTTATAGCAGTGGTGGTACTGGCTGGTGGTAACGATGTAGATAGTGGTTGTTGTAATGGTGTTTGGTAGTAGTGGTGGTAATGGTAGTAGTAGTTGTGGTAGTGGTACTAGTAGTAAGAACCAGTAGAACCACCACCTACTCCACGGATGGTAATGGCTCTCAGTGGTTCAAGAAACTATATGATAGTTAACGATGGAACTGATCTGAATAGTTTATGATAGTTCAGTTGTCTTGGGCCAGTGGAAGATAGTTCTGAGAGAGAGAGAGAGAGAGAGAGAGAGAGAGAGAGAGAGAGAAGTAATTCTAAACAGTCGCAAGTGAGAGATGGTTGTGAGAGAGAGAGAGTAATTCTAAACAGTCGCAAGTGAGAGATGGTTGTGGAGATAGAGAGAGAGAGAGAGAGAGAGAGAGAGAGAGAGAGAGAGAGAGAGAGAGAGAGAGAGAGATAACAGTTCTAAAAAAGTCATAAACGAGAAATAGTTCTAAGAGATGGAAATAGAGAGATAGCGACCCCCGGAAATACGTCAGTTCTGTTGCAGGAGATTACAACAGAGACGGCCTGAGGGAGATGAAGAACGTGTCCAGATTCTCAAAGATGTTTACATATTGACTGTCCATTTTACCTGTGAATATAAAGTTAATGACGTAACTATGAAATATTCTGTTAATTCTTATTTACGGAGTTTCTTAAGAATTTTAGGTCAGAATAGCAGGTGTCGTGGCCTAGCAGCAGGTGTGTTACCCCGGACAGGTGTATAACTGCAGGTAATGAGGTACTTACAGATGTTGACCTTGTCTCTCTACACCTGTATCACTTGTTTCTTGTAACTAGTGTAGAAGAAGACCTTGACGTTAAGTAATGGCAAATAGGACAAAAATTCCTTGATAAAAATTGTGTTCGTTTATTCAGTGTGTGTGTGTGTGTGTGTGTGTGTGTGTGTGTGTGTGTGTGTGTGTGTGTGTGTCTGTGTGTGTGTGTGTGTGTGTGTACCACCTCCGTCTAACCTGTCTACCTCTTGGCTTTCACTTCCGTCTTCTGTTGTCTCCGCCCGTCTCATCTTCCGCGCCTCACTTTATTTACCTAAATATCTTTGACGTCATTTTTATTCTAATTTTATTTACCTTCACTTTTGTTTAGGTGTTAAGTAAGTGCCACTTAAATTAACACTTAGGAGAGTTATGTGAGACTTCAAACACTTTCCCTCGCTTCCACCTCATCTCATCTCACCTCACCTCACCTCACTCACCTCACCTCCACCAATATAAACATTCTTCAGTAACTGCAGCCTTTATCTGACGTAGTATTTTCCTTGGCACAAAATATACTTTTTGTATGACTCAAAACATCCTCCTCCTTGACGCAAAACATTCTGCTTTTTGTGTCAGTCACCAAATCCTACATTCTATCTCGTTTTATCATTCTATAGTTTTCTTATTTTAACCTAACATAACCTAACCTGCTCTGCTCTAACCCAACCTAACCTAACATGACCTGACCTAACCTAACCTAACCTGACCTGACCTAACCTGACCTGACCTAACCTAATCTAACCTCTCTCTATGGTGGTTGTGTGTTTAGGAATGAAATAATAACACAGTAATGACACAGGTACCTCTTACCTGTGTGTGTAAAGTGAGGGAGGGAGAGAGGGAGCTATTTTGCGTGCCCTGGTCTCTCATTATTACATTGTGTGCCTGTGCCTGACTGTGTGTGTGTGTGTGTGTGTGTGTGTGTGTGTGTGCCTGTGCCTGACTGTGTGTGTGTGTGTGTGTTTGATGTATGCACCTCTCACTCAGGTTCCCAGGCCTAATCGGCGTTTGGACCAGCGAAGAGCAACTTTCATATCCCTTATGCGGCACTGACACGAATGCCCACTACGGCGCCTCTCCACGTACCCACTCACCCGCCTTTCCTTAACCAGTTTAAACTCTGAATTACCTGTCGGGTCGTTAACTCATCTCAGTATCACTTTGTTTTATACACGGTGTGATTGGATTATTAATACTGAAATAAAATAGGGGTAAAGACATAGCCCTGAGATACGCCATCATTAGAAGTCAAGAAGTTGCGTGATTCGTGATTCTCGTTGTTCCTGCCATTGGATAGAGAGAAATTATGATCTCCAGGAGGTTGATGGAGGAATGATAAGTTAGTGTTTTATGAAGGAGATGTTGCGAGAAAAACCTCACCTCACTCCTTCATCTCTCTCCCTCAAGTGCCAAGACAACAATCATGAGAGGAGAATATGTTGCAGGGTGTACCATAAGACACTGCAACCACCACCACAATCATCACCACTACAATCATCACCACCACAATCATCACCACCACAATCATCACCACTACAATCATCATCATCATCACTATCTCCTTCTCTTCTTCCGTCTCCCTCTCTCCCTCCTCATCCCTTCTTCCTCCTCTACTATCACCACCTCCTCCTCTTCTTCCTTCTCCTCCTCTACCATTACCTCCCCTTCTTCTTTCTTCTCCTCTTTTTTCTCTTCCCCTCCTCTTCCTTTACCATCACCACCTCTTCTTCCTTCTCCTCCTCTTCCTTCTCTTCCCATCCTCCTCCTCCACCATCACTTCCTTCCCCTCCTCTATCTGCCACCACCAATTCTCTTTGCTGCCCTCCTCCTCCTCTTCCTCCTTCTCCTCCACCATCACTTCCCCCTCTTCCTCCTCCTCCACCATCACCTCCCCCTCCTTCTCCTCCACCATCACTTCCCCCTCTTCCTCCTCCTCCACCATCACCTCCCCTCTTCCTCCTCCTCCACCATCGCCCCCCTCTCTTCTTCCTCTTCCACCATCACCTCCTCCTCCTCCTACCATCACCTCTCTCTCTTCCTCCTCCTACCATCACCTCTGTCTACCCTCCTCCTCCCCCCCCCCTTCCACCAACCTGTCATTTGAGCCTCCTTTCCCTCTGATCGTAAAATATATTCAACTCTGAGTTACCTTGAGCTGTGAGTCTTTTGTTCCTGTGGACGGCTTATGCAGGTATGCTAACCATCTCTTGTCAGGATGCTAAAACGTCATTCTACAGTCACTAATTCCGGGTCATCATAGAGTTGTGATGGATTTATATATGAATGCATTATGGTGATTTAAGGTCGAGGGTAGAGTTATAGTGCAGGAAGAGGAGGACGACGAGGATGAGGTGTTGAAGGTCGAGGTCAAGTTATAGTGCAGGAAGGTACTGGAGGAGGAGGTGCTGAAGGTCGAGGTCAAGTTATAGTGCAGGAGGATACTGGGGGAGGAGGAGCAGGACGAGGATGAGGTGTTGAAGGTCGAGGTCAAGTTATAGTGCAGGAGGATACTGGGGGAGGAGGAGTAGAGGAGGGGGTGGAGAGGAGGAGGAGGGGATGCACGAAGGGAGGTCGAGGTGAGCAGGAAGGATGCTTTGGGGGAGGAGGAGAGTAAGAGAGATGAGGTGACATTACAGAGGTATGTAGCAAAGGAGGATGAGGGGGAAGTGAAGGAGAGGGAGGAGAATGAGGAGGAGAAGAGGAGGAGGAGGGGAAGAAGAAGGAATAATCGGAAGGAGAGGAGGAGGAGGAAGGGGAAGAAGAGGAATAATTGGAAGGAGGAGGAGGTGAAGGTGAGGTCATAGGGTCATGTAGATGGTTGATGTACACTTTGTTAATGATGGTGTCTTGAGAATTTACTACAGTGTGTGTGTGTGTGTGTGTGTGTGTGTGTGTGTGTGTGTGTGTTGCCCCAGCCACAACCTTACTCCCGTCACTTTGCTGTTATGCTGTATAGCTGATTCTTCAGTGTTACAGCTTACAAAGTCACTGTAACACCTGCTCAAATACTGTAACCCCAGACAAGTGCCGCTACAGCTGTATTTCTGTACTTCAATAACTAAAATCTTTAAACATGTATAATTTTCATGTTAAGTTTTGTATGTTAAAGAGATTGTATTTATTTTTTTCCTTATTGTCCTGCAAATAATTTTCTTTATGTCTTTTAGATAATTTTTTCCCTCTTGTCCTCCTCCAGGTAACAATTATCCCCCATTGTCCTCCTCCAGGTAACAATTATCTCTCGTTGTCCTCCTCCAGGTAACAATTATCTCTCGTTATCCTCCTCCAGGTAACAATTATCCCCCATTGTCCTTCTCCAGGTAACAATTATCTCTCGTTGTCCTCCTCCAGGTAACAATTATCTCTCATTGTCCTCCTCCAGGTAACAATTATCCCTCATTGCCCTCCTCCAGGTACTAATTTTCCCCTTGTCTTCCTCCAGGTAATATTTCTCCCGTTGTCTTTCTCCAAGTAACAATTCTCCCCTCAGTCCTCCTCCAGGTACTAATTCCCCTCTTGTCTTCCTCCAGGTACTAATCCCCCGTTGTCTTCCTCCAGGTACTAATCCCCCCCCCCTTTGTCTTCCTCCAGGTACACCAAATACCTGTATCCATACGAGTGTGAGAAAACAAAACTCTCGAACCCGGCGGAGCTACAGTGTGCCATCGACAACAACAGGAGAGAAGGTCGCCGCTCCTCCTACGGTACCTACTGTGACTCCATTCAACCTCCTCTCCTCAACCTCCAGTCCCTCCATAACCTCCACAACCCTCTGTCTCTAGCGGGCCGACCACACTTCAACGGCAATGGTACCACCTATCCTCTCCCTCAACCAGACTGCTTGATGGGTAAGTATAACTCTTCTGGGTATTGTGGGGTGTAGTGGGTGTAGTGGGTGTGTTAAGTGTGTGTGTGTGTTGGGTGTTGTGTGGGTATTTCTCTTGTATATTGTTTGCTTAAACCTCACAATGTTAAATAAGTTGTGGAAATTGATTCTAAGCTTCGAGGGAGATCATCAGGTACCGGGAGACATTACCAGGCACCGGGAGACATTGTCAGGCACCGGGAGATATTATCAGGTACCGGGAGACAACACTAGGTACCGGGAGACATTATTAGGTACCGGGAGATATTATCAGGTACCGGGAGACATTGCCAGGCACCGGGAGACATTACCAGGCACCGGGAGACAACACCAGGCACCGGGAGACATTACCAGGCACCGGGAGACAACATTAGGCACCGGGAGACATTACCAAACACCGGGAGACAACACCAGTCACCGGGAGACATCTTCAGGTACTGGGTAGTGACATCATAAATTATTATAGGCACTGAATACCACCATCTGTTACCGGCACCGGATGTCACCCACTGTTGTCGAAATTAGATGAGTTCTTCCAGCAGACGTTATCTCTCGTTGCCGTCAGAGAGAGAGAGAGAGAGAGAGTTACCTTCACCACCACTGAACTATCTTCTCAAGCTACTGTATCTGGGGTTCACAAGAGGACGACGATTCCAGGAGCTCCCCTAACTTCCGCAGCTAAGAGAGTCCGTGTGCGTCAGGGTCTTCAGAATCTAGCGCCAAGAACCACCATCGGCCGCTATCATCATCATAACACCATTTTCACCTGGCGGGCGCCGTGGTCACCTGTGTTCATTAGACACCGGATACCAGTTTCATCTCCTCGTACCAGACAGCCTTTTATGTCTCGGTGCCTGACTCCATTTTAAGTCTCAGAACCGGACATCATGTTTAGCCCCCAGTACAGTGCTTCATCTTCACCCATCAGCACCGGGCACTTGTCTCAGTTTATGAGCACTGGGCAGTAAATTTATTAAATTTATTATGTCAGCGTGGCACTTCCGTCAGCTATAGGTATCAGCACTACCGTCAGCTGTCAGCACAAGGCGCCATCTTCAGCTGCAACCATCAGTGTTGACTTGAACTCGCCGGCTGTTTGTAGTCTCCTGGAAAACGTGATCATTTTCAACATTTGCATTTGCACGGCCACGCTCAGCAATATCGCAATTATCCGTTGCTCCGTGATTACGTATGTAAATGATGAACCGACAGTGGTAGTGATGGCGGAGCAGCGGGGAGGTACACGCCAGCTGCCACGATGATCGACATTCCTTAACCTATGTATAGGAGTGAGAACCCTACTTGTGGAAGAGTATAGCACAGTTCGTTCCCCTCGAGACCTTGCCAGATCCCTCGCGGGTCGGTTGTCAGAGCCACCCACGGTTTCTATATCTCTGTGAACGGCGGAGTTTGTTGCTGTCAGCTCAGGATGACGGTGGCTGCCTCCTCCTGCCTCTCACTGCTCCAGTACCGCCCCCTCTGCCACGTATCCTCCATCTCGCACTGCCTCTGGCCCAGTACTGCCCCTGTGTCCTGTAGTCGGTTGCTCCTGTTTCCTCCTGGGGCTGGTCTATGACACTTTTCTTGGCCTTCAGTAGTCTACAACTGTCCCTGTGGTAAAAAAAATCATACCTTGTGGTCTTCAGTCATTCAAAACTGTCTGTATGGCCAGAAAATTTGAATATTTTTCCCCGCCAGTGATTTAACTCTTCCCAGTAGCCCATAATCGCTGTTATTGCTCCCCATTTTTTTCTCTATGACTTACCTCCCCTGTGGTCCATAATTCCCACCTTATGTTGCCTCCAGGATCCCAGGAGTCTCACTACCGTACAAATGTGCTCATCTACTGCTCGTCTTCACCCCCTAAATGACCAAGAACAATTCCTGATGCATTACAGCTCTACTTGTCGTAGTCTTACCACAATATCTGTTTTTCCTGACACCACAAAGATCACTTACAATCTCAGGTGACCTTGTTTACACGAACCATAACTGACTCACGTATTCAATAAAAACACAGTCTGGGGGTTTTGCTTTTTCGTTCGCCGAGTTAAATAAGAGAAAAATACAGGTATGACCTAAAATATTCGCCCAACTTGTGAATTATTAGCATCAGGTAATATTATGTAAATCCCCGAGAGTTTGAGACTAAGGGGAGAGTCGTACTGGATGATCCTGTACATAACGTGGGATCCTGGAGGGTTGGTATCTCTCTTTGTTTCTCATTTTCTCTCTTTTTTTTGTTGTTGTGGGAATATTGTGGTCACTAGGGAAGGCCACAGTGGTCTTGTGCCTTATATCCATGGTCCCGTGTCCCTGAAATTTGGTCTAATTGGACGCTTGAGAGAACAGTTACGGGTCTACCTGTGACACCAGTCCAGCAACAGGTGACAAAGGGGAAATCAAGTCTTTCTTTTTATTACTTTCTCCTCCTCCTTCCTTCTCTCCTCCTTATCCTTCCTCACCTTCTCTTTCTTCTCTCCTACTTATCCTCCCTCACCTCCTCTTCCTTTCTCTCCTTACCATTACTCACTTCCTCCTCCTTTTCTTCCTTCCTCACCTCTTTATTCGTCTTGTCCTCCTTATCCTTCCACACCTCCCCTTCCTTCCTCAACTCCCCTTCTTCCTCATCTCCTCTTCTTCTTCCTAACCTCCTCCTCCTCCTTCCGCACCCGGTCCCCCCCTGATACCGGCCCATAGTCGATATCAAACCCTGAGCCATCGAATTTAGATCCCAGAGCATTGACCACTCCGCCACATTTACTTTTGATGAGATGTCGGGGCTGAGATAGGGTGGAGGGGAGGCTAAAGTGGGGAGGAAGGGGCTGAAGTGAGTGGGAAAGGGCAGGGATGGGGAATAAGAGATTGGAGGTGGAGAGAAAGTAGGGGCTGGAGTGAGGAGGAAGTGGAGTGGGAAGGAAGTAGGGTGGGGAGGAAGTAGGGTGGGGAGGAAGTGGTGTGAGGAGGAAGTGGGGTGGGGGGAAGTGATGTGGGGAGGAAGTAGGGTGGGGAGGAAGTGGTGTGGGGAGGAAGTGATGTGAGGAGGAAGTGGGGTGGGGAGGAAGTTATGTGGGGAGGAAGTAGGGTGGGGAGGAAGGGGGATATTCTTAATTGTATTGATGTTAGCGCAGGGAACTTGAGGTACACACGCTACCTACTGAATGACGAATTGCGTGTAGTAGTTGTGACGGGTCTGTGGTCTGTAACGTATGGAAACTGACAGATATCAGGTGTAGGACCTCGGGGTGGCTGGCTGTCTGGAGGCTGGTGGGAGGCTGCCGTGATCGTCAACAACAGTGCATGATGAATCGTAACCACAATGTGCAAATGGAGTTTTTACTAAATGGCATCAACCTTGTATTGAGTCCCGACCAGTCCCACTTCCGCATCTAGAGCTTCTTCTAGCCAAGGCTTGGGAGGAGGGAGTGTAGGGACGACATGGCTTGGGAGGAGGGAGTGTAGCGACGACCTGGCTTAGAGGTAGGAAGTGTGGCGACGACCTGGCTTAGAGGTAGGGAGTGTGGCGACGACCTAGCTTAGAGGTAGGAAGTGTGGCGACGACCTGGCTTAGAGGTAGGGAGTGTGGCGACGACCTGGCTTAGAGGTAGGAAGTGTGGCGACGACCTGGCTTAGAGGTAGGAAGTGTGGCGACGACCTGGCAGAGGTGGGGAGTGTGGCGACGACCTGAGAGTGGGAAGTGTGGCGACGACCTGGCCAGAGGTGGGAAGTGTGGCGACGACCTGGCTTAGAGGTAGGAAGTGTGGCGACGACCTGGCTTAGGAGTAGGAAGTGTGGCGACGACCTGGCAGAGGTGGAAGTGTGGCGACGACCTGGCTTAGAGTAGGAAGTGTACTAACGACCTGAGCAGAGGTGAAGTGTGGCGACGACCTGGGCAGGGTAGGAAGTGTAGTAACGACCTGGCTTAGAGGTAGGAAGTGTGGCGACGACCTGGCTTAGAGGTAGGGAGTGTGGCGACGACCTGAGCAGGAGTGGAGTGTGGCGACGACCTGGCTTAGAGGTGAGGAGTGTGACGACGACCTGAGCAGTGGAGATGTGGCGACGACCTGGCTTAGAGGTAGGAAGTGTAACGACCTGGCTTAGAGGTAGGAAGTGTGGCGACGACCTGGCTTAGAGGTGGAAGTGTCGACGACCTGGCTTAGAGGTAGGAAGTGGCGACGACCTGCTTAGAGGTAGGAAGTGTGCGACGACCTGGCAGAGGTAGAAGTGTGGGACGACCTGGCTTAGAGGTAGGAAGTGTGGCGACGACCTGGCTTAGAGGTAGGAAGGCGACGACCTAGAGGTAGAAGTGTGGCGACGACCTGGCTTAGAGGTAGGAAGTGTCGACGACCTGGCTTAGAGGTAGTAATAGTGGCGTTTATATCCTCAAGTCCTGACTTGTTAGTGAGAGAGCGTCTTAAATATAGAGGGAGTTCTGTCGTTGTCCTGGCTTAGGAGGGAATTAATGGCTTGGCGTGGGGGGCTGATGGCTTGGCGTGGTGGGGGTGACATTTTGACACCTGGGGTTGATGACTTAACGTACCTGGGGGTTGACGGCTTAACGTAGTGTGGGGGTGATGGCTTGGTGTAGTGAGGAAGGTCGATGGCTTGGACGTGGTAGGGGCTTGATGACTTGACGTAGGGTGGGAGGGGGGTGATGGCTTGACATAGGTGGAGGGGGGTGATGGCTTGACATAGTGGTGGGAGGGTGATATGGACATAGTGGGTGGGAGGGGTGCATGGCTTGACGTAGGGAGAGAGGGGTGATGGCTTGACGTAATGGAGGGAGGGTGATGGCTTGACATAGTGGAGGGGGTGATGGCTTGACGTAATGGGGAGAGGGTGATGGTTAATGGGAGAGAGGGGTGATGGCTTGATTATGGGTGGAGGTGATGATTAAATGGAGAGATGATGGCTTGATAGTGGGTGAGGGTGATTTGACGTATGGGAGAGAGGTGATGGTTGACATATGGGTGGAGGGTGATG